GGAAATGGTGTCTGGTGGACAAAGAATGACAAAAGCTTTTCTCTCTGTGGGATGGTGGCAATGTCTGATGGTCAGTCTCACTATCCCATGGCCTCCCATTCTAGTCCCTGCTTCCTTAGATCTATGCAAATTCTCTTATAGCTTTGGTAAATCTGAGTGTTGGACAAATGCTCTTTCCCTTCACACATGGTCAAGGCTTGAGAGGAAGTTCTTCATCTGCTTCCTATGCCCTGACTTTCACAGGTTACTATATAGTAGAGAACACAGAGGGGAATACCGTACTATATACATGAAAAGCCTGAGGCCTTGGCACTAGGTGGGACTGGTTTTTGTATTAGATACTGATGGTGTTCCCATTCCCATGATCAACAGAGAGCCTCATTTTCTGCCTTCTAAATTTCAATCAGGAGAGGCTGGGAGGAAGAGAAATGTACTTGGAACAGTTTATGAGATTAATATGCACATGAAACTGTCCTAAACATAATTATGCTTCTTACTAGGTGAGTGAACTTCTTTCTTGAAGTTGTTTAACTTAGTCTGTCTGAGTTTGTTTTATTATCTGGAGGAAAAATGAGAACAATGAATATCAAATATAAGGTTGTGAATAGAACAAGGAAGAAAATAATATGATCTGCACAGTAATAAGATCTTGCCAGCTCGATTATTTTAAAATGGCAACTCTACACCCATTGCTAAAGTCTAAGTAGGCCAAACTCAGAAAACAATTGTGCCATTTTAATACTTCTTGTTCTGGCTCACTAATACTCGATCCACTTCTGTTTGAGTCTCTTGGCAGTGTTTCCAAGGTCTTGCTTTTCCTGGTTGAATGAATATCATGTCTTGTCCACCTGCTCTCCCCCTTCCATTTTGCTGTTATTTCCAACTTTGCAGGGGACAGGGCAGTACTTTCCAAACCCTCTTCTCACTCTTAGGGAAAAGGAAGTGCATGGAGGCTCATCCACTGGCTTTGGAGGAGACAAGAGCCTGTGGGCAGTGATTTTCTCCTTCTCAGTACAGGAACCATAAGGAAGTGTTTGGTTTAGTAAGTAATAAGGGAGAGTCAAAAAAGATATATTGTAGATGAATAGTTGTGACAAATAGTAAATCACTCCAGAAGGAAAAATTAACCATTTAAACAGCAAACGTGTCCAATCTGGAAATCAGGTTTGGGGTACCAAGTTAAAAGGAGATAGATTAATACTCTGCCATGAATTTGGGGGATTGACTGGCCCTCATGTCTAAGTTATTGTACAATGTGAGCTGTTTTTTTTTAACTTTGCTTCCCTTTTTTATGGGCAAATGATTATGTAGGTTTTTCTTGTCTATTTTGGGGACCTGAAAGGAATGATGAATCATCAGCATTAATACTCCAGCTTTTAACTTCTAACTTCTACTAGCTTTTCCCACTGCCCTGACGTCGGCAGAGCCACTAGGGAGGCTGCATCAGTTGACCGTGTTGCTCACGTCTAATCTTCATTGAAGACATTGAAGGTTGTTCATGTCTTAACTTCATATGATATGAATATTCTCTTCTTTCTCTTCATTTAGCACCTTACTCATCTCTACTTCCTCTCCTGAGAACTCCAAAAATATCTTTCTGGAGTTTACAATTAGGTCATAGAATGAGTGCGAACCAGGCATGAATTGCTATTTATCTCTCAGTTAACATTTCGTTTTTTTCATTTATTATTTTTAATTTTTTGTAAATAGTGTATATTTCCTGCATGTATGTAAGTGCACCTGTGCCATGCACTGCAGAGAGTCAGTTCCCCTGGAACTGGGGTTATGGATGGTTGCAGGGAACCCAACGCGGGTCCTCTGCAAGAGCAGCCAGTGGTCTTATTTGCTGAGCCATCCCTCCAGTCTCTCAATTAACATTTCTTAAAGATGGCCAACTCAGGATTAACTTATTTTCATGTGTTACACCTCTACTTTATTCATAATTGATTTCAGCATTTTAGATTTATAAGGGAAGCTTGGAAAGTCCCTGACATTCATGCACAAATTTGTATCTTTGAGTTTATATAAATTTGGTAATGAATAGATGACTCACAACCTTCATTACATTTTAAAAATAATTAAATGTTTAGAATAAAAAGAATTACGAACCAAGAATATACCAAAAGGAAAGCTATATGCTGATTTCAGCAGAGTTAAAGCTAGCAAAAATGGCTGCAGCATATCACTCACGTTCATTCGCTAGGCCCCACAGTCTGAAATGCAGGTTCTGAGATGGAGGCCACAGAACATGTTTCCAGGAGTGGATTCAGGTAGTCCACATATGTTATTCGCTACCTTTTGTCCTGACAGATCTTACTATATAACCTCTAACCCCAGCCCTAGGGAAGCTGAAGAGTGGGATCTTTTATTCTTCAAGGGAGGAAATTGCTCTCCTGCTGCAATGGTCACTATGCCATTGCCAACCCAGAGCAAAACCTAAAGCTGTGTTTTCAACACTAATAAAATAATTGTCTCCAAGAGAAAGTGGCACTAAGTATCTTGCTTGGAGAGGTTGTGAGAACAGGAAAGTTTACATGTTCTTTTAAGAAATGCTTATGGAGCACCTGAATGTATGGGCACTGTCTGCAAGTGTAAATAAGTGTAAATATTACACTGCCCCAGTGTAAATAAGGGGATATGGTCCCCGTTCTTCTGGACTTTCTAGTCCCTTGGGTGAGATGCATACAACAACAGTCACATGCGTGGGGAGCGCATCATCTACATGGACATGGAATCTGTTAATATGAAATTTATATTTGTTTCAAAGGTTTTCATCAATACTTCAAAAATCCCCAAGGCAAGAGTGAGGAGAGGAAATTATTAAGGTGAAACTTATAATCTGAAATAAGAAACAAGGAAGGTAGATAAGTGCCAGTTGTTAGACACAACACAAGAATTATAACATACGATGTTTGTCTACATGTCAGCCTTTTTCAAATCATTAATGGTTTCATCCAAACTCGTCTTTAAAAATTTTGCCAGGCAATAAAAACAAGACACAAAGCAGTCCCACTGGTCTGCTGATCTGGTCTCATCAGGCGCAAGTTGAAGCTGTTTCTTCAGAAAAAGTTTACTCAGTAAAACTACAGCAAAATTTCCATTTTTGGCTTTTAGAACCTTTTATGATTATATGTACTGTATCACTTCTATCACTATACACGTTACATGTTCTGTTATTGTCCATAAACAAAACTAGACTTCAATCTCCTTGAAATCAGGTGCTGAATCTTATTTACACAGTACTCACACCTATAATATCTGAAATTAGCAACCAATATATATTATTGTAAGTAAACAGACAAGTTTAGAATGCTATACTTAAAAACAGTAGGAACTACAGTATATAGAATAACTATTGGGTTTTATATAGAACTATAATCCATGCACTAAATTGTTCTCTAGGCTGAGGTTGGTTAGAGGCAGATGAAGGAAACATAGCTCAGAAAATAACCATTTTAGGGAATGGTAGCCCCTCCCCACATCCTTCTCAGGGTGAACTCACAGTTCTGTTGCACCTCCTAGGAAAGAAGGAAAACATTAAACCAAAACGAGCTGTGCATGATTGTCTATGTTTTCAAAATGATTCAAACTTTTACTCTTTATGGTAAGATCCCTTCCTTTCCTCAGTACTCCTTACCCAGAGAAATCAAGGCCTTTGTGAAAGGGACTTTTCATGGAAAGTCCTGTGAAAGCCATGTCCTTATGATTCAGGAAAACTTCCTGCTCCCATCTTACTGGTGATCAAAACTCCTTCAAAGTTAGTCTTGGTTTCCTGGGAGAAGAAGAAGAAAGAAGTCTAGCTGGATTAGTCTGAAAGCATACTTGTTTATGAGGCATATTTCTGCACGATCACACCTGGCAGCCTGGGTGGGCAACCTCTTGAAGTCTGAGGTGCACAGCCCGATCTCGAATAGATACTAGTGCAGATGGCACTGTAATTATATGACCAATAATTACATGGCCTGGCGGTGACCACCTAACTTCTCACATCTTGTCCTTACCTAACATGTACTTACCTAGATGTTCATCTTCCTCTATTGACTCTTTCAACACATCACTTAAGCAGCTTTTGGAATAGTCTTCTCTTATGCCCCTGGCTGGAAAAATAACCTGGTATTATTTCTCCACTCTGTAAACCAGTCAGCCCTCAGGTGAATGAGGCCAAACACCTGAGACTATACACTTTCAAAATATTTGTTATAAAGTAGATTATATGTATGTACGAAATTGTCATAATGAAACCCATTATGCTATGTAATAAGCTGGTAAAAATGAATGAAGCCCCCAAATCTTAAAATGTTTAGTCTTATCACCTCTAGATTTCCCCTAGATTACTTGAAGTGTTACTATACAACTGCTTGGAAAACTGAGCAATTTTCATGTACAGTAGGTGTGCCCTTAATTATATTAAATGCACCAATAGCCAATTAGAAGAATATTGTAACATGGTCTTTCTGAACAATAGTTCTTAAAAGCTCTACAAAAATTCTTGAAAGGACATAGCATAAATTACCAAATAAAATGATCGACAAGAATGCCCTCACCGTCTTCACAACATTTATACTTTACCTAATGAAAAGATCATGTCATCAAAAGAATAATCATTAATGACCTTATTCTAATAGCTCTGTTCTTCGCATAGTCTATGGTGTTTATCCATAAATTACAAGGAATGCAATTGCTAATGATTTATAGAGGTAGAAAGCTTAAATATTTAAGATTATATTTATTAAAATTATTTTGAAGATCAAAGAAAACTTCAGTTACCCTGAGAATCTGATAAAAGCCCAATCAAGGAAGTCTGACGACTTGGGTTTATCCCGAAGTGGTGGGTGGTGTCTGCTTATTATGGAACTTCCTCTAACAGAGCGCAAGGATGAAGATGCAGGTGATTCTAGAGCTGTGGCGATATAAAAAGCCATGGGAACTCTCCATTCAACACAGGTCCTCAGAGACTGCAGAGTCCACAGGCTGCTAGGACCAACTCATCCTGAGTAAACATGACTTCCAAGCTGGCTGTTGCCCTCTGGGCAACCTTTCTGCTCTCTGCAGCTGTGTGTGAAGGTAAGCACATTTTATAACCCACAGAGCTTTCCTATGTCTAAGTCTGAGCCTCAGATAGCAAGGCTATCCTTAATGTATTGATAGAAGAAATATCAGGAAGAAAAATAATGTTTTTTTGCAGTTATTTAATGCTAAACCAAAGTTTTAACTTTAAAAAATATTTTATTTATTGTTTTTATTTTATGTGTATGAATGTATTGCCTGCATGTGTTTAAGTGCATCCATATCATGCAATGCCCATGGAACTGGAAGAAGGCGTTGTAACTGGAGTTACAGATGGTTGTTATCTGCCATGTGGGTGCTGAGAATCAAACCCAGGTCTTCTGTAAGAGAAGTCAGTGGTCTTAACTGCTGAGCCATCTCTCCAGCCCCCAAAGTTTTAAGTTTTTAGGCTTAAATCTCTATAAAATTTAGGAAAGAATAAAGTTTGATCAATATAGATGTTCCATTTTATAATTCAAACTCTGCAATGTGCATATATTTAAAATAAATCCATAGTATACTGAATATCTTGTTAAGAACCACAGTTATACAGATTATCTATTAATACTGAGATAACTCAGTTTAAGTACATGTAGTATTTTTCTGTCAAGCGCTGATAACTGGTGACTCTGGATCAAAGGCACCCTTATCACACATCTTCTTGGGATCCTTTCTATGAAATACAGGCTAGAATGAAAATAGTACACACATCCTGTATATTTTCTTCTATGAATTAAGGATTTCATTAAGCTACGACATCTCTGTGTGTTCAATCATAGTTTTTTATTAAGTCCTTCTGAAGGTGGTTTCTATGTTAGTGAATCTTAGCTTGCCTAAGATTTATAGCATTTTGGAATTACAGATAATCATGTGATATTGAAGGAAGAAAAAAATAACACGATATTAACATAATACAAAGACAGTTCCAATTCTTTCTGTAGTATGTCATTACAATTTCTGTGCAATAATTATTTTAAAACAAACAACAAAATTGAAATCAGGGGCTAGCATATCTGACTCAATGTCAGTAATGAGTTTGCTCAAAATGTGATGTTTTCTACAGCCCTAAATAATTATATTGAGATTAAAGAGGGAGTAATTAACAGAGGTATACCTTTTGATGAAAGCAATCCTTAATCTTAGTCCCCCCACCCCCTTTTTATAGCTACACGTTCAACAGCTATTAATGCAGAACTTCGATGCCAGTGCAAGAAGACTCATTCCAAATCCTTCAATTCCAGAGCTATCAAAGGACTGACAGTGATTAAGGGGGGCCCAGACTGTCAGAATACAGAAATCATGTAAGTACTCTAGATAATGGTGATTTTTCTTTAGAAAACCTAGAATTGAGGAAATTGGGAGTGTCTAGGAAAGTTTCATGGACTAGGGACACAGAAATGAGCAAAATAAACAAAACCCAAAATCTTGTGTACATGACATTTAAACATGGCGTCTGCATAGCTGGTAGATGAAGGACTTTGGAGTTACATTTTATGCCTGTGCTTAAGGAATCATGGTTAAACTGGAACAGTTAAATATTGATTTTAATTTCTCTCTCATTTCAGCATAAAGCTTGTGAGTGGAAGACAGTTCTGTCTTGATCCTAAGAAAAAGTGGGTGCAGAGGGTTTTGGAGTTATTTGTGAAAAGGTAAGTTAGTGTTTTCAAATGAGATATGGAGGTTTATATTAAAAGTCAGCTATAGGCCTGGTGTGGTGGTGCACACCTTTAATCCCAGTGCTCAGGAGGCAGAGGCAGGTCTGTGAGATGGAGGCCAGTCTGGTCTACATATGAGTTCTAGGCAAGCTGGGGCTACAGGGAGACCCCGTCTCAAAAAAAAATTGTCACCCTATAATTTCCTACTGGTCTTGAAATATCTTACATTTTGATTAAAAGGAACAAAAAGAAGCAATAGAGTTTGGTGGACTTATGCTACAGAAAATTATACATTTTAGCTTGGTCAGGGATGTCTAGGTTTGCACCTGTGTCCCATGTGTTTAGTAAAGTTCCCTTTATCCTCATAAATCATCTTCTTTGGATGATAACTTATCTTTTACAGTTGAGAGCAAAAAGCATTTCCTTTACTACATGAGTGTCTAAGACTATTAATTTCCCAAGAAAAAAATAAGTATTTAAAAAATTTTATTTATATATATTTTATTATTTTTTAATTTTTTGTGTATGAATGTATTGCCTGCATGTGTGTAAGTGCACCTGTGTCATGCAATGCCCGCAGAGGTCAGAAGAAAGCGTCAGATTCCCCCAGAACTGGAATTATGGGTGGTTGTTAGCCACCATATGGGTCTTCTGCAAGAGCAGTCGGTGCTGTTAACCGCTGAGCCATCTCTCCAGTCCCTATTAATATATTTTTATTTTTATGTGTATAAGTGTTTTGCCTGCATGTATGTTAGTGTACTTGTGCATGCAATGTCAGTGGAGGCCAGAAGATGACATTGGGTCTACTGGAACTGGAGTTATGGGTTGTTTTTAGCTGCCATGTAGGTGCTGGGAATCGAATCTGGGTCCTCTTCAAGAGCAGCAAGTGCTCTAAACCCCTGAGCCATCTCTCTAGCCCCAGAAAATACGTTACTTTAAAATTTTTTATTTATTTTTAATTTTATGGGTATGAGTATTTTTGTCTTCATGTATGTAAGTGTACAAGTGAGTTCAAGAAAATACATTCTTAAGAAATAATTTATTTCATATTAGAACATTAATATTTATTTTATCATACTTTCAGAGTTGAAAGGCAAGAG